ACCCTGCGTTTATTTTTCCTTTCAGTATATATTAGTCTTTGACCATAAAGCTACAGATCCTGTAATGCAAAAAAGGTTCAATTTACGGTGCAATATTTTTTTGCGCACTTCTGGGGAGAATTTCTCCACTTTCCAGCATCGGTCAATTTACTACCTTTCACCCCCTAATTCTAGGCACATTATTTAACTAATCTGTATATTTTATCCATCTCCAAACGTTTTATATTCGTCTCTACACGAGATAAACTCGCTTGATTAAAATTATTTGTTAGATTGCATAAAATTCAAATCAAGCGTTTTTATTGCCTGTAGAGATGACTATAAATGGCTGAGAGGTGAACAAAATATACATTTTGACTACAGAATGTGTCTAAAATTAGGTAATGAAAGGTAGTTGATTGACCAATGCTAGAAAATGGAGAAATTCTGCCCAAAAGTGCGCAAAAAAATATTGCGCCGTAAATTGCACCTTTTTTGCATATGGGGATCTGTAGCGTTATGGTCAAAGACAAATATATAAAACCATAACGCTGCAGATCTGCAGCTACATGGTCACCTGAGCATATTATGCTCAATTTGAAGAATACATGTATTATGTAAATTATTGAATTATATTGACTTTTTCCGTGGTAAAGCCCAATATGAAGAAGTGTGCATTTAGAGGCAAACACCTTAGTGCGGGTATTACTGTCTCATGACAGCATCTAGTATGGAATTGACTTTGGTTTGGTTGATCAAATTTTTAAGGTGTTCTGGCATGAGGCTAGTGCTTTGGTGCACAATGAATTAGCATGTAATTGACAGTTTATTTGTAAAATTTCTGTGACTGGTCGTTAGGGATACTCATTCCTCCATGGCACCTGATTCCACCTCTGATGTTTTGGAGGTCCGGTTTTGCCCTTCTCCTATTTTGTATTGTTTTATGTATTTTTTATCTTGAATGTTCATTATCTCTATATGTTTCATATGAGTGAAATTACTGGACTCTTGAAATTCTTGGAAAGTGGCAATTGACAATTAAAATACATTTATTTTTCAATATTGCTTTACAAAAGTGTAGTTCTCTACAAATTTAGAAATCTATTTAATAAATGATAAACATTTAACAGAAAATGGAAAATCTGACTTCATCAAACTCTGTTCCAAGTACCCAGCTAAGAAGGAGAGGCCCCCTGTACCATGTGTACTGGGTTCAATTCCTAACAGTACTACATTTATTTTCTTTCCATGAAAATAAACTTATTAAAATTTTATAAGTTCTTTCTTTGATCGGTAGAGGGACAGAAAAGAGAACAAAATCAGAGGCCCTTGAGCCACATTGCTCACCTGAACTAGTTAAAAAACACAAATCAGCTTTGTACTGAGCAGTTTCCCTCTTGGGGGAGGGGGGATTTCAATTTTTTATTACATTAGTGTGTCACTATATAAATAAAGTATTGTGTATAATTTTGCCATGCTCAAGAAGAGGAGTTTTAAAGATTTTTCCTACATACATGTATTCCCATGTAAAGATTTGATTTCCCATCATGGCCCCACCTTACCCCGAGGGGTCATAATATGAAACAAACTTGAATTAACTCAGAGGATGTTTCCATATTAATACCACCAAACATAGCTTTAATGATCTTCAGAAGAATATTTTAAAGAGAATTTTCCTATGTATTTCTATGTAAAACTTTGATTGGCCATTTTGGCCGCACCCTTGCCCCGGAGGTCATTTTCTGAACAAACTTGAATATACACTACCTGTCAGAGGACACTTCCATATGAGTTTTACTTTTCCTGGTACAATAGTTTTGATCACTTTGATCAGCCATATTGGCCCCACCCTACCCCGAGGGGTCATGATTTGAACAAACTTGAAGCTACATTACATGAGGATGATTCCACATTAGTTTCATCTTTCCTGGCCCAGTGGTTCTTGAGCATGTTGAGAAGAAGATTTTAACAATTTTTCCTAGTATATATTCCTATGTAAAACTTTATTCGGCCATTTGGCCCCACCCTACCCCCGGACGTCATGATTTGAACAAACTTGAATCTACACTACCTGAGGATGATTCCTCATGAGTTTCATCTTTCCTGGCCCAGTGGTTCTGGAGAAGAAGATTTTTAAAGATTTTTCCTATACAGGTAACTCTTGATACCTCGAAGTCCGCGGGACCAAGGAAAAACTTCGAGAGATCAAGAGTTCCGAGTTTTCAAGAGTCCGGAATTTTCCGGGTTTGTTTGGCAGGTTTTAAAATTAGTCTTACCGGATGTAATGATTTTCATGTACAGCTAACTTTTAACACGTGGTTTTTATGAAACAGCGATATGATTCCGTATTTTAGATGAATATTTATTAATCTGAGTAAAGCTTAAAATGTACATCGTCATTTTATGTTTATTTTCATTCTTTATAATACTGACATCATGCTACGCATTCGTTATATGAAAACGACATTTTACAGTGCCTCGAGATACATAGCATTGTGATTTTTCCAAACACATGCATTGAACAAAGTTCTGTAAGTATTTGTCCAACAATAGTCGTCATATTGACACTGAGGCTGTTTCTGGATTTTCATATTTCGTTAAACTTTGATACTGACTCGAAATAAAAACTAAATTTACTAAGTGTTTCGTCTTGTAATCTGCGATTACAATTTCTCTGTGACACAGCGTTTCTATACATGTATATTCAAGTTTGTTCAGAAAATGACCTTCGGGGCAAGGGTGCGGCCAAAATGGCCAATCAAAGTTTAACATAGGAATATACAGGCTACTCTTGATGGCTCGAACTTCGATCTCTCGAAGTTCTTGATCGCTCGAAGTGAGTCTCCGGTATTTTCATTAAAAAAAAAAATAAATATACTCTTTTAATAACTTGTTTATAAATTAAAAGCTACCGGTAATTCATTAATCTCCCAATGATTATTCACATAGTTTATGCTACAGGAGAATGGTAGCATAATTTTATTTCATGGTCATTTAATAAATTGTTGAATTTTATTTGAGGGTTACATGGAATACTCTTTTTTTAGCATGGTCCTTATAAAATGTGTAGCATTTTTTTTCTAAAAATCTTATATCTAACTGTAATGATTTTTTTTAAACAGTATCAATGCAAATTTTGAGTACATAATTTAACATTAAATAATTAAAAAAGGCCCACATGTAGCTATCTTTTTTTCTCATAAACTTGTAGTTTATTAATAGGGATAACAATTTTATTATTATTTATTAGGGATGTCAAATCGGTCAATTTTTAATACTCAGTTACTCGGACGTTTTTCCGATCGAATACCCGGGTACTAGGTAAAAGTGTAAATAAATATAAACAAGTAAATTGATGAATGTAAAACATTGTAAAAACTTGAATCTACACTACCTGAACATGCTTCCATATAAATATGATGAATAATGGCTTTGTCATTCTTGAGAAGAAGATTTTTAAAGAATTTTCCTATATATTTCTATGTAAAACATTGGTCGGCCAATTTTGCCCCGCCCTACCCCCGGGGATCATGATTTGAATAAACTTGAATCTACACTACCTGAGCATGCTTCCATATAAATATGATGAATTATGGCTTTGTCATTCTTGAGAAGAAGATTTTTAAAGAATTTTCCTATATATTTCTATGTAAAACTTTGGTCGGCCATTTTGGCCCCGCCCTACGGGGCCCGGGGGTCATGATTTGAACAAATTTGAATCTACACTACCTGAGGATGTTTCCCCATAAGTTTCATCTTTCCTGGCACAGTGGTTCTTGAGAAGAAGATTTTTAAAATATACCACTAAATTTTCATTAATTCCCAATTATCTCCCCTTGAATAAGGGCGTGGCCCTTCATTTGAACAAACTTGAATCCCCTTCACCCAAGGATACTTTGTGGCAAGTTTGGTTGAAATTGGCCCAGCGGTTCTTGAGAAGAAGTCGAAAATGTGAAAAGTTTACAGACAGACAGACGGACAGACAGACGGACGCCGGACAAAATGTGATCAGAAAAGCTTACTTGAGCCTTCGGCTCAGGTGAGCTAACAAAACAACAGTGAGCCTGCAAATTCTGAATACACAAGGGGGCAGAGCTACATGTATCATGTCATTCAGAACCTTTTTCACACATGAGTGAACAAAGCAGTCCCAGAAAGCAGTCCCAGGGGCAGCTGGGACTGCTTTTAAAAGCAGTCCCAGAGCAGCCCCATAGCGGTCCCAGAGCAATCCCGGGGACTGCTTTCTGGGACTGCTTTGGTGTCAGGTTGGGACTTGTCGGTACTGTAAGCGTTCGGCTCAGGTGAGCTAAAAATTCCTATTCATTCCTGTGTAATGCTTTGATCAGCCATTGTGGCCCCGCCCTACCCCCGGGGATCAAAATTTAAATAGACTTATATCTACACTATCTGAGGATGCTTCAACATGAGTTTCATCTTTCCTGGTCCAATGATTCTGGAGAATAAGATTATTAAATATTCCTAAATATTCCCATGTTAAACTTTGATCAGCCATTGTGGTCATAATTTGAACAAACTGGAATCTACACTACCTGAGGATACTTCCACATGAGTTTCATTTTTCCTGGCCCAGTTGTTCTTGAGAAGAGGATTTTGAAAGATTTTTCCTGTATATTCCTATGTAAACCTTTGATCTGCCATTGTGGCCCTGCCCTACCCCATTGGGTCTGGAGAAGAAGAAGGTTCAAGATTTATCCTTAGTATTCCTATGTTAACATGGTAAAACTTGGATCAGCCATTGTGGCCTCATTTGAAGGACCGGTCTCCATGTCCCACACTGCCACAGTGGAATTCGAACCTGTGATGTCGATCAACTCCTTTCTTCACGACTCTAGAGCAGACGATCTATCACTGCACAACGAAGGTGACAGAATTAGCACTCAAAAGAGTGATGTCACGGGTAGATTTTAAGCATACGTACAGTCTGCCTGCTAGATATTTGATAGATACCAAAGAGTAGAGAAGAACTGGAGATATTTGGTGGTGTAACAAGTTTTACTTACATTTGTATGCCTCACTGGATGGATATATAACAGGACAGGGATTTGGAAATGTTGTGCAGTCCACACCACTCTCCTGGATCAGATTTCCTAGAATGCTATACTCTGTACATCTCCCTAAAATCAAGATACATAGTATGTAAAGCATAATTTTCCAATCTAAATACTGTGTATTCTGAAATCTTGCTCATATTCATAAAACAAATTCATTGCTCCAAAGTAACTGCATCGTTGGGACAGTTGAAATCTACTGTTGTTTCAAGTACCTGTATAAAATATGTGAACTTCATGTACATGATGCCCTTTTCAACAGTGTACAGTGTATTAAGTTTTAAGGAATGTTCTAAAAAGATTTCTATATAGTCAACATGCAGCTGACTCTTAATTGCCACAAAAAAAAAAGAGGCCCAGGGGCCACATCGCTCACCTGAGTAATTGGCTAGGAAAAAGCACATATCAGATCAGACCTGAAAGTTTACTGAGGTTGGGGGGGGGGGGCTTGAATTTTAAACCCCCCAGGGGATCATGATTTGAACAAACTAGAATCTACATTATCTGAGGATGATTCCATATAAATATTACTAATCATGGCTTTGAAGTACTTGAAAAGGAAATTTTAAAAGGTTTCCATATATTTTCCTATGTAAAACTTTGATCAGCCATATTGGCCCCACCCTACCCCCAGGGGTCATGTTTTGAACAAACTTGAATCTACACTACACAGTGTACGAAATTCCCGTCCTCCCGCATGCCCGAGATGTACACTAAATCGGGAGCGGACGTATAAACTTTACTCAGCATCAGCCCGCTTGGACGCAATACTTTTACCCCCATTCCCTCCATTTTTGTACAAAAATGTTTTGAGGAGGTATTAAGAACAAATATTTCAACATACATAGAAAGCATTAATTCCTGAGACACCAAGAAATAAACAATAACTGATCAATAAATCTGTAAATACATGAAGAACACTACCATCGACTTTTAACCTGAATTTTCTCCATTTTCGCGCATGAAACGATATTTTCAACTTTCCGCTGGTACATGTATATTGTGCATTTTTTTAAAACTTAATGGATCAGATAGAAATCTAACACATTTACATGTGCTTATTTATAAAAATTAATTAGTATTCATATTTGTATTATGATCATGCCGTTTATATTAAAGACCGCAAAGCTAGTGTACTAAATTATTCATCACTGTTCAACTTCCTTACAATATGCACTTTCGTCCAAGGGTAACATGCTCTTCTTTTATTCAATGGTCGTTTTAACTGGTATGGGTAATTACCTTAATAGTGTATTGATTTTCATTTTTCCTATACTTTATAATGAAGTATGCAACTGATTGAATGAAAGAAATTTGAATTTTAGTAATTACAGTGTATGTTATTTAATTGGATGTGAAAAAATATACAAGTCTGAGTCTGCATACCCTTAATATTGAATTTTATTATGCGGGCTTGCTAATTTTCAGCAGGGCTGACAGACTTTTTGAGTAGTCAGCCCTGCTGGTCCACCTGAAAATTTTTCGTTGAGTTTCGTACACTGCACTACATGAGGATGATTCCACATTAGTTTCATCTTTCCTAGCCCAGTGGTTCTTGAGAAGAAGATTTTTAAAGATTTTTCCTATATATTCCTATGTAGAACTTTATTTGGCCATTTTGGCCCCACCCTACGCCCGGACATCATGATTTGAACGAACTTGAATCTACACTTCATGAGGATGATTCCACATGAGTTTCTTCTTTCCTGGCCCTATGGTTCTTGAGAAGAAGATTTTTCCTATATATTCATATGTAAAACTTTGATCAGCCATTTTGGCCCCATCCTACCCCTGGGGGTCATGATTTGAACAAACTTCAATCTACACTACATGAGGATGATTCCACATGAGTTTCATCTCTCCTGGTCCTGTGGATCTTGAGAGGAAGATTTTTTAAAAATGCCATTAATTTTTCTCTAATTCATAATTATCTCCCCTTGGAAAAGGGCATGGCCCTTCATTTGAACAAGCTTGAATCCCCTTTACTGAAGGATACTTTGTGGCAAGTTTGGTTGAAATTGGCCCAGTGGTTCTTGAGGAGAAGATGAAAATGTGAAAAGTTTACAACGACGACAACAACAACAACGACAGACAACGGACAAATTTTGATCAGAAAAGCTCACTTGAGCCTTCGGCTCAGGTGAGCTAAAAAAATGTAAAATGTTGTGATGACATAGAAGGTGGAATAAAACAATTTAAGGTTGCTGGAATAATTTATATAGATGTTAACTTGCCCTTTCAGAGGTTTACTCTGCAAGAGCAATCAGACAACAATTAACATGATTAATGTCTACACTCTCTGACTGAGGTTTGAAGAATGTATGGCTGTCATGGTTCCAAAATTTTTCGGGTCGGGTCAGTTAAATTTTTTTTAGGTTCAGTTTCGAGATTTTTTTCGGTTTGGTTATTCAAAGAAATAAAACCTCATGATTTGAATTCTATTCAACAAAAATAAAAATTTTTCATTTAATCTTAGAAATAGCAACATAATAACTACACCTGTAGTTTAAAGTAGTTTCCTGACCAGAATACATTTTTTATGCCAAAACCTACTCTATTGTACAAATTGGAACCAAACCTAATTCCGGAAAAACAGAACTGAACCCGATCCAAATCACTATTGTTCCACAGTTCTGGGTCATTTCGGTACCCGTGACAGCCCTAGAAGAATGGGTGCCTGGTGCTTATTCATTTTCAAAACAATGAAATATTTTGCAGTACAAACCTAGAAGAATTCTCCTTCCATAAGCACACACTTCAAGAGTTTCATTAAGAAAGAAGTTCAATACACAATGATATACAAATCTGTCAGGCTCTGAACACAGTCCAGCAAGGGAAGAACAATTCTTTCTTTGGGCTGCCTCTATCCACTCAGCTTCATTTTCTGGACATTTGTTGACTCTGGCCACAGTCCCTCTAGAGGCTTCACAGGAATCGGCAGCATTCACACAAGAATGATCAGAAGAATATTTAAACTGGATAATTAAAAGAATATAGTGCAGATCGGCAAACTTTGGCAACACTGATTTTCAAGATGATTAATTAGTTGGCATTTATAAACCAGACTCACAACACTTTCACTAATTTTGACAAATGTTATGTAAATCATTCAGTAATAAATAAAATCTAGAAATATAATAAACTTTATTGTTAGGCTGTTTTTTTTGTTTTTGTTTTTTGTTTTTGATTTTTGTTCTTTTCTAAAAATGACAAGTTTTAATCAGATAAAATAAAATTTAATTTCCACATCTTCAAAATGAAAGATTTCAATCCCCCCCCCCCTTGACTGAATATGCAATTGCATGATCAATGAATTAACAAATAATATATCCCTATAAACATGATAAATTAAATTTATCATTTCAATTTTTAATTGTGAGTAACATGTTTTGAGGCCTTACCCAAATTACTGCTTCATACAAAATCAGAATTCTCAGCAACTTCAAATTCAGCATTTCCATATTGTGATTCCTTGTTTCCTTCCAATTCCAGCCTGAAATTATATTACATATTTTATCCATGTATTCTGTATACAGGGAAATTTTTGCCCCTTTCGCCATAGTCAGAAGTGGGAAAATTTAAAACTGGGTGAATTCAAAGTAAACTGTATAATATCTTAAACAAAAATCTTTATGGGCGAATCTAAAACGGGGCAAACTTGTTTTCATATGTGAAAGGGCGAAAATAACACGGGGTGAAAATAACCTTATATACAGTATTCATTTGCAATTTTTATTTCACATGCATTATAGTTAATGATTAAATTTAATTCAAATATTTGAAGAATAGGGATGGGTGTCACCAAAAATTTTGTAACTTGATATATCAAGATTTTTTGCACAAAATATATGCTTAAAATTTTTTTAACTGAACTGTTTGAGATTTTAGTCCCCAGCCTACTAGTGAAATGAGAGTGAACTATAGAATTCCTCAGAGTCTGCCCATCTGTCTGTCTAGCTGTCCCTCTGTCTGTCTGCCCCAATTGGTTTTCTGCCAAAATTTCTCTAAATGTTAGCAGATATTACATAGGTGTCAGAACCGGGACCGAGGGGGGGGGGGGCTTATTCCCCACTTTTTTATTTTGCAAAGATAGATATAATATTGGCATTGAAGATTGGGGTGTAGTTTTAGCTTCCCATCCCCCCCACCCCTTTCGCAAGAGGCACGTTAATTGCAGTGTAGTCAAAGAAGGGTTATTGGTACTGTACGTGTTATGGAAAAAATGAAGTATTTTGGGGGGAAAAGTTTGAATTTTTGGGGTTTTTTTGCTTGTCAAGGTATTTTAGATTTTTTTTTTTCTTTTTGAATTATCACCCCCCTACCCCCATCCCACTTCCAATTTGCTTCCAACACCAATGTATTGATCTGACTTTTTGTTAGATTGCTGAAAAATTCACTTTAAGCGAGTTTATTGCCTGTATAGAGACAACTATAAAAGGTTGGGAGGTGGATAAAATATACATAATGGCTTCATAATGTGTCTAGAATTAGGGAGTGAAAGGTAGTTGATTGTCAGATGCTAGAAAGTGGAGAAATTCTTCTCAAAAGTGAGCAAAAAACATTGCACCGTAATTGCACTTTTTTTGCATTATGGGATCTGTATAGCATTATGGTAAAAGACAATTCTAATGCAATTGTTTTGTAAAACACGTTTTTATTGTCAAATGCACTGATGTTTGAAGCAGTAAAATGAGCATTAACGAGGAAGAAATCTTTTAATGGCGTCATAATAGAGCGACGCCAAAACAGAATGCCATATGTAAGGCCAAAAATAAAAATAGTCTTGTTTCCTGCTACCCGACCTACCCTATTTTTTTGCACCCGACCCTAAAGTTTTTATTTAGTTTTTGAGCGAAAATCGAAAATTTCATGATCCAAAAGTGAAAGCAATATACATTCAAGTGGTATTTCAAGAAATATATATGTTTTAAATATGGACTTGCATGAAACAATACTTATTTTAAACGATAATATTGACCAATGACATGTTTAATTTGGTTTTGTAATAGTTCATATCCAACAAATACCATTGGAAAAAAATAAAATGAAATAAAACCAGACGTCTCTGTCGAGACTGAAGCTCTACTGGTTTGAACTTAAAGCAAAGGAAGAGAAAAGTACTTAAAGCAGCTGGGATATGAAACTTTACAACAGCAATAAATAGAATAATGATCGTTGATAAAGTCTCTTTATGTATCTTAGTGTAGTCTACTTGTGTGCCAAGTTATATTGAAATCAGACCAAAACTGTAGCCAGTAGCTGCTAATTTAGAAACAATTTTACAGATATTTCTATTTGTAGTAACCATGGCAACACCGTTCATTGAAATCAAAAACCAATATACAGAATTATATATCTTAGTGTATTCTACTGGTGTGCCAAGTTATATTGAAATCAGACCAAAACTGTAGTAGGAGTAGCATTTTGAAACAATTTTACAGAAATTTCTATTTTTAGTAACCACGGCAACACCGTTCGTTGATATCAAAAACCAATACACAGATTTATGTATCTTGGTGTAGTCTACTTGTGTGACAAGTTATACTGAAATCAGACCAAAACTGTAGGAGGAGTAGCATTTTGAAAGAATTTCACAGAAATTTCTATTTTTAGTAACCACGGCAAACCATTCATCGAAATCAAAAACCAATATACAGAATTATGTATCTAAGTGTATTCTACTTGTGTGCCAAGCTATATTGAAATCAGATCAAAACTGTAGGATAAGTAGCATTTCAAAAGTATTTTACAGAAATTTCTCTTTTTAGTAACGCCGGGAACACTGTGCATCGAAATCAAAAACCGATATATAGAATTATATATTTTAGTGTAGTCTACTAGTGTGCCAAGTTCTGTTAAAATCAGACGAAAACTGTAGGAGGAGTAGCATTTTGAAAGAATTTCACAGAAATTTCTATTTTTAGTAACCACGGCAACACCGTTCATCGAAATCAAAAACCGATACACAGAAATATGTATCTTAGTGTATTCTACTAGTGTGCCAAGTTATATTGAAATTAGACCAAAACTGTAGGAGGAGTAGCATTTTGAAAAATTGTTTACAGACAGACGGACAGACAGACGGACGGACGCCGGACGCATTACTATCGCATAAGCTCTTCTGGTCTCTGACCAGTAGAGCTAAAAATAAAATAATTTTGCGACCTACCTACCCTATTTTTTTTCAGGCTGGTAGCAGGAAACAAGGCTATTATTTTTTTTTGGCCTAACGTATCTCACAGGTCCAGGAAAATCATTATTTATTTTAAACAATATTTTATTCACTGGAAAATAACTATATTATACACCTATTTACTGGCTATGAGGACAATAGCAAGTTTATCGTCCCCCAAGACAGCAAACTATTTCCCGAGGCGCAGCCGAGGGAAATAGTTTGCTGTCGAGGGGGACGATAAACTTGCTATTGTCCGAATAGTCAGTAAATAGGTGTTTTATTATACCGATGCTGACTTAGCTTTTGTTAACTTTTGGGAGTCCAGGGTACACACATTTATGATATTCCATATTATACCGGTTCTGACGTAACTTTTGTTACGTCATAATAAATACATGTCACAATCCATGTAAAATCAGAAGTTTTTCAAAGATGAAAAGCGAGGGAAATCGAATGCTGCCGTTGAATAGTTTGAGGACTATTCACCATGGGCAAATAGCACAAAAGCTATTTCACGGTAGAGACTGTTTAGAAAAAATAGCATGTTTATTCATCTTATTTTTATATAGAAAAGATAAACAGAGGTATAATAATTCTATATAGCTAAATCTACCTATATAGTTAGGTTTATTACCTATAAAATATAGCTTCATTTAGCTATTTCAGAGTAAATTTCTGTTTTATGAAAAGCAGACAAAAATTCGCATATTGAGGCAATATTAGTTTTCAACTTTAAAATGGACTGAAAACAATTCATGAAAAACCCACTTATAAAAATGTTTCTCCTTTTGTGCAATTGCAATCAAAGGTCTTTAAGTTTTGGGGCTATGTATAACAGTTAAACTGTGAGTAAGCAGCTACTTTAACAAAGAAAAGAAGTTTTGGTAAACAAGATAATTGATTGGTAATAATTGAGCACAATGCAAGGCAATCACATTTAGTCATTATGACATGCGTCACCGCACTTCCAGCTATCCAAACAATAGAGATGCATTTTTTGGTAAAAAGGTGTTTAAAAGAGGCAATTTTTTCCTTTTAAACAAGAGGCCCATAGGCCACATCGCTCACCTGAGCACTGTGGCTAGGAAAAAGTAGGAATTGGTTTATTATTGAAAAGTTTAAATCCAAAAGTAGTCCCATGACCAATCATGACTTTGCTATTCTTGAGAAGATTTTTAAAGAATTTGAACAAACTTGAATCTACACTACCTGAGGAGGTGTCCAGTCAACTCGTACACAGACCGAGTCGTACACAAACCGACTCGTACACAAAAAGTCAACTCGTACACAAATCAGAAGTCAGCTAATACACAAATCAGAAGTCAACTTGTACACAACGTTATATTTACAATAGATAGGAATTATTTTTATATAGGCCTATATAATGTATAATCTAGAAAAAATGAAATAAGGACAAAAAGAAGTGTTTAATGTTTAGATTTTTTCATGAATACTTTAGTGGTTTAACATTTTAAAACGACCATCCATGGCCTCTCTTATTGGGAATACATGTGTATAAACAATTATAATAATTGTTAAACCAACATAAGCGCGGCGGTTTCTTGGATCTTTGACAAACGCTAATTACAAAATGCTCCTAATTTGGTGTGAGAGAAGTGTTTATCCTGTTGTAAAACTGTCTCTTAAAACCTTTTTTTTACTTGATAATTTTTTTTTTTTTTTTTTTTTGCAATTGTATAAAATGATATACAATTTTGGCATAAAAATCTTACGATGTATTTTGATCGTGTTCATACTATCTACATTAAATAAAGGCATTTATACGTTAATTATGGTGCCATAAAATTTCTAAATTTCTTAACTGCAAGTAATATGTGGATATAAATAAAAGCTGAAAACTAATTTTAAAATGTAAAATTCCCGTATCTTGTGGTGATTTTTTTTAATTCATAATTAAATCTACAGAATAAAACACAACGGACATCTAATTCATGTATCAAATAAATATAAATCAGCGGCAAAAATATTAAAATGTACAAAAAACTTTGTGTACAAGTTGACTCCTCATTTTTTTTTCAAACTGAGGAAAACTATACATTAAATCACATAGGAAAACCTACGAACAAAATTGAATGACATTAGTTTGTGTACGAGTTGACTTTTGATTTGTGTATGAGTTGACTTTTTGTGTACGACTGGGTTTGTGTACGAGTTGACTGTAAATCCCTGAGGATGCTTCCACATGATTTCTATGTAAGACTTTGGTCGCCCACTTTGGCCCCGCCCTACCCCCAGGGGTCATGATTTGAACAAACTTGAATCTACACTACCTGAGGATGCTTCTATATAAATATGAT